ATGGCATTTTTAGCAAAGCTATGAAATTATGGTTTTTCTGGTGATTTTTGATTGAAAAAAAATTGTGAAAGCTGCAGATTGTTCATCATGGGAATAAAAGGCAGTATTTAACCTGTGATAATGTAATCTGGGATTTGCATTGATGGCTCTGAAGTGGATTTATGTGCTGCTGCTATTTGGTGCACTTCATATCTCTGAATTGGTAGTATTTGTGAAAGGAGATTTTTCCAGAAATTAGAGTTTCAGGGTTTGTGCTTCCTGGGGAGTCAAACACTAGGGTGCAGTGACTGAAGACTGATCAACTTAGGAAAGGAAGAGACATCCATCTTAGCAGCATTGTTCTGATCTGCAGTAGCTTTAAAAGCAGTAGCTTTAAAAACCTTTATGGAACAGTGGAAAGAATGGAGCCCTTTGTGTTCACCAAGATTATACTCCTCTCACCTAATACCAGTTTTGCGTGCTCGCAAACAGCACTCAAACAAATTGGTTCGGAAAGTCACAAATTTTGGACCCATTTGTTTCACAGCAAGTTAAACTGCCAGCTATAGAAGATATAGACGACCAGAAGGTTGGCAGTTCAAGCAGCAGGTTGCAGTGAGCTCCCGCTATCAGCCATAGCTTCTGATAACTTAGCAGTTTGAAAACAGCAACGTGAGTAGATATATAGGCACAGCTTTAGCGGGGGGTGGAGGGAGGTGCCCCTGAAGACATGCCGGCAATTTGATCAGGAAGGCATCCACGGACAACAGGCTCCTTGGCATGGAAACACGGAACAACAGCACCTCCCAATGGCTGAGTCAAGCACAGCCTTCAGATGCCGGAGATAAAAAAAGAGGGAAGCCTTGCCTCTGTTTATGTGCCGTGCAACATCTACAGCATTGCTATTGGTTATGAACCTACAGCTCTTAAGAATGTGGAAAGGTGGTATCCTATTGTTGTATGAATTATATTAATCTCTTGACAGTTTCTTATATTGGGAGAAACTTTCAAGGAATGATCATAATATGCTGCTGTTAATGTTTGTTTTTCAGGTATCAGATGCCAATTGGTCCAGAGCCATTTGCTGGTTTGAGGCCATAACATTGTTTTTTGGGTTACTGTTATTGGGTATAAACAACAGCTGTCAGATACTAGTTTTGGCTCAATGAGCTGGCAGTAAATTAATAGTTGGGAAGAGGAGGAGCTTCTGCTGGCAGAATTTCCTTTCATTAATGATTGAAGAGAAGGCTGGTCCCCCTCCAAAGTTCTTGTTATTCCATTTAGGTAGAAATGATTTGGGTTTGCTAAAGGAAAGGGGAATAATCTCATGGACATAAGAAGATATGCATGAGACAAAGAGGTGTTGATCTTCCGTGCAGTTGAATTAGTCAGCTATTTTGCCCAGGTGGATATGGAGAGGGACAATGATAGTCATATGCCTGTTGAGAGCAATGTATTATAGGAATTTATTGGTTTGATGTGGGGTGTACCACACCATGCAGCCCAGCTGCATAACAGAGCTAAATAGTTAATAAAGCGTCCTTTAGTTCACCATTATATTTCTATGTTGTATTTGTCTTTTAAATAAATGAGCAGATGGGCTTTCCCACTCCACCAAGCAAGTTATGTGCTCCACTACAGTTATGTGGTTATTTGTAAGGCAGTGGTTCCCAATCTTTGGGCCTCTGGGTGTTGTGGACTTCAACTCCCAGAAATCCCAGCCAGCTTACCAGCTGTTAGGAACTTTGGGAGCTGAAGTCCAAAATACTTGGTGGCTCAAAGGTTGGGAATCACTGTTGTAAGGGAAGCATTATTACATCAGGGACACATAACTCTTTCTTTATATTGTTTCGAGGTTATAGCAGGGGAGCGCAGCTATCATATACGCGGGACCAAAGGCTGGAGACCTCGGTACACTCCTTCTATACCTGGGAGGTTGTCCTCTTCCACCGAGTGCACAGCTTCGGGAGGAACACACATGGAATGGTGAGGGAGGAAGGGGACACCTGCCTTGCCAGCCAGATCAGCTGAATCAACCCTGGTGATCAATGAGGTGACAGATGTCGCAGCCAGATCACCCTCATATCTCTTTATATTGTTAATTGCACTTTTTAGCATAATTATTTGAATTTGTTGTTTCTCCTTAATTAACTTTAGCATTTTATTATTATCCAGTTATTTCTGTTTATAAACAATGATAAAAACAATATGCAAATATATTAAATCTACCTGTAGCCAGATTCTCCTCTCATTCTCAGGAGTCACAGTTCAAGAGCTAAAGAAAGTATTCGCATTTTGTAGCACAATTATCACATTTCCTATGAGTTGATTCAGAGTCAAAGGCTGCTCAGACAACTGACAGAAGCATAAACAAAAGCAAAAGGTAAAAGACTATGCACAGTTTAACTGCTATGATTTATAATATATCACTTTTAATGAATAAATACAAGCAATTCAATATGTGACCATGGGCTTCATTATTTACCCCTGTCTCAAGGCACACCTTGAAGAAATAAATGTAATGACTCAGTGACCCATACATGAAGAATGTTTTAACTGGATTTTCTTTTTATTTGTTAGACATTTTACACTATATCTTTCCTAACTCATAATGCTGTATGGGTCAATGCTATAGCTCTCTCTGTTCACAATGTACAATGTGGTAATTTCAAACCAATCCTAGGGCTATTCAGAAAGTACATTAAAGTGCATTTATAGGCTTTTAAATTTATCCTGACCTTGCGTTCCATTTGGTTCCATTTTAACCAACATACAAAACCCGTTCTGTCACAAATTTTCTGTTGCCTACTGTGTTGTTCTGAGCATTGTGCCTTATGAACAATTCCACTGGACAAAGAAAGAAAGAAGTAGAGGAAAAGAAAAGTTCTGAACAGCAAGCTGATTGATGTGCATTCTGAGTTCCCATTTTCTCACTAATTGAGACTTAAGGCAAGGAACCTGGCTTTATGCCATGTAATAAACCACTGCAGTGTATTACAGAACACAGAACTGGGCCCCAAAGCTAAGCTGAGCATTAATTCTGAGTTCCAAGCTGGAAGCAAACAAATAAATATATCAAGGTAAATTTTAGCCTAAAATGTACTGTCAAGCCATATCCCAAAGGCACAGAATACCTTTTTCCTGGGCCAGGGCAGGAGGTGTTTTATTCTATGGGTGCAATTTAGCACAGGCTTCGCTGATTTGTGTTCTTATTACTGACATATGCCTTAGTTGGAAATATTCCAGGAGGATAGCTACTTTTTTGTTTTTGTTGTTTCACTGGCAATACAGGTAACTCCTTACAACATGAAAAGAACTAACATCACTAAACCAGGCTTGACATATCCTAGAGTTCCTAAGCCAAATGCCCAATTTGCATGTTATGCAATTTAATTTCTGCCCTGTGCAAATTAAGTACATTGAGTATTGCACTATTTTTCTACAACTATGCTGGTAGCATTTATATAGCAAGCACTAATTTGAGACAGCCAGAATAGGATGATAGTTAGAGTGCTAGACTTGGAATCGTGAATCTTAGGAGTTACCATTACAAAGCTTGATAATTGTTAGCGTTGCACAGAACATATAATGGAAGAATTATATAGTTAATGCACCCTTAGTCCAGTAGTGCTTTCTCAAGCACAGAAATAAACATGTTTCTTGCTTTTAAAAAAAGCCATAACCTCTTCAGTTAGACTGAAGCCATTCGTTTTAGAACCTACTGCCCATCTCACTTGTGAAAATGAAACCTTTGCTACCAACAGCACATTCTACAGCAACCTTCCCCAATGTAGTATTTACCAGAGGCATTAGACTACAGGTGTAATGTTCACACTCAGGATGATGTTCAGTATTGCTTAGATGTGGAAGTCGGCAAGACTGAAAAGAAACAGGATACTTCACATTCTCTTTGTAAGTGCACTGGCAACAAAGATGCATGAGGAAAACTCTCCTCATGCATTGGTTTTCCCTAAACAGCAGGTTCTCCTGAAAAACCGGGCACACAAGGAGGCCATCCTCACATATAATATTTCCTCGAGTGGGTCTTCCAGCAGTTCCATCCAACATATCGGTTCCCAAATACAAGGTGCTTTAAAAAAGCTGGAAATTTGGGCCAGTAGGAAACAAGAACTGGGTGATGTGGAGGTGAAGGGTTGAGGGTCCAGGTAAAAATAGCCAGTCAGATAACATGGTACCTCGTGTCTTGTCTCATCGTGACAATTATGTTCTTGAAAGACTTAAAATATATGCTCTCTTTACAATTACATTTCTAAAATTATATTTAGAACATTTTAGGTTTGCTAAGAGAACTACAACCTTCAATGCAACAACCATCAAAACATTTTAAGTAAAGGACTTCTGCTCAGCTTCAGGAGACAATCTGAATATGGATTTCCAGTTCAGTGGCCAAATACCTCCAGAATTATACTAACTTCTTGGTGGGATTTTTTTTTCCATTTGATAGTATCTAGATTGCTTCTAGAGGGACCCTGAAAAGTAGATTCTCAGTTCAAAGACCAAATGCCTTCACAAATGTACTAGTATTTTGAAAAATTAACACCTCATCACTGTCATTAATGTGAAATATGAATGATATACCATTAAAATAAATTGATCTGATTGACATGTATTTGGAAACCAGGCCAATTATTTTGGCTTATATGCATATAGAAATACAAAGATAATTTAAATGCCAGTTTTAGATACTCTGCACATCTACTTAGATCAGGCATGGGCAAACTTTGGCCCTCCAGGTGTTTTGGCCTGAGGCTGTTAGGAATTGTGGGAGCTGAAGTCCAAAACACCTGGAGGGCCAAAGTTTGCCCATGCCTGACTTAAATACTTCTCAACTATGGACTATGATTTCTAATCATAGACAAGCGATTTTTCATTATAAGACATACAATCAATGCACATGCAAAACCAAAAGGACTTTCAATGATACTTTTCAAGATTTTAGACATTAAGAAAATCAATTTCAGAACAGATAATGTAAAGAAACTCTTAAATCTAGAACTTAC